TGGGCACGACTTTCCCCTTGTGATGAAGACTCCTCCGTAGTCCTGGCCGGCATGTGAAAGCATTTCTGAGCAGAGCAATGTGCTCCCGGGCACTGGGTGCAGGGGTACAAGGGTCAACGGCACGTCGAGCGGCTCTCGGTTGGGATGGGGAGGTAGGAGTGTCAACTGGAGGAGGGAGCGTGCAGGTCACTGCGGTCAGCTCCTGTGGGTGCTCGGGGCTGCGGGGACAGTTGTGAGTCTTCTGGGAGTACCAGGCAGGGTGCTGAGGGGCTGGGGCGGAGAGGAGGCTGGGCTCAGCCGCGCAGGACCGACATGCCTGGGAAGGAGTCGGGCTCATTCGGGGTCAGAAGAAGCTGCAGAAGCATCGACACCGGGGGCGGGGGGGGCTGGCCAGCCGCATGGGGTTGTGGAGGACACTGCCACCAGCTACTGCCACGACTCAGGCAAACACATCAAGACCGACGGGAGGGGCAGCTGCACGGGTGAGAAGAGGGAATGAGAGGGGAGGAAGGAGGGGCCCCGGTCAAAGAGGAGGGGACGGGCCCGCAGGACCCGGGAGTCGGACGGCGGTGCACACGGGGCTGAGCATCTTGGTCCCAGGAAGAGGAGCACGCAGAGGACAAGCAGGTGGGACAGCAGGGACGTGGGTCTGCCGAGGGTCTCGGCTTTGAATAGGACAGAGAGGGCTCTGGCTGGGGCACAGGCAGAGAGGTGGTTGTTTTTAACGTTTATCATTTGCATTACTGTTTTTAGATGCAGAGTTAAGTGTTGGGACAAGAGGGGAGGAGAGAGCGGAAAAGGAAGGTTGAAGATACGGGGGTGCTAATGATGACACAGGGGGCGGGTGAGCCGGAGGATGAAGGGGCTCCCCAAGCAGGAGGAGGGCTGCCCTTTCTTTGGGGACTGGGGGAAGGAAGGACACGAGGGGAGCGTCGTCGGCACGGGAAGGAGGCGGGAACGTCCACGCCTGGTAAACTTGACGGTTAAGACAGACAGCCCCTCCTGGGCATTCACTGCGTGGCAGGTGTCGTGTGAGTCCTTCAGATGAATGCATTTGCTGTGTCACCCTGCAAGGGAGGCTCTGCTGCTGTCCACACTGCACAGAGGAGGGGAGGGAGCAGAATGAGGCTGCACTGAGGTCTGGGCACAGCTGACCACAGCCTTGGCCACATGTCCTGCAGTCCCTCGAGACTGACACTGATGTGGGAGAAGTGGAGGCTCAGGCCGCTGCTGTGGGCATCGGGGTCCCGACTGGTGATGGTGGAGGGACAGTTGAGGACAGAGGGTGGGCACGTGCAGCACAGCATTGTCCCCTGACGTGCTCCGCAGCCTCACCAAGGGAGGAGGGGGCAGGACAGCGTTCTACAGAGGGGTGAGGGAAAAACAACAGGGGGGCAGAATGAGGGTGACCAATGTCCTGTAGGATGGGAAGCCACCCAGGAGGGTGGTGAGAGGACACGGAGGGGAGAAGGTGCTGGTGACATCACAGAGGTCAGACTCCTGGCCCCAGGAGTGGGGCCTGGTGGGTTGGGGGAATGGAGTCCAGCCGGTGGCAGGACAATTGGAATCTAAAGCAGAGGTGACAAGCTCCAGGGCATGGCTCTTGCCTGCAGCTGCTGGCGGGGACCGTGGCCCCTTGGACTGCACCTGGAGAACTGTTGTTGGGTGGAGCCAAAAGTCCCAGGACCCCAGGACGACAGCAGGAGCCAAATGCCAAAGTCTTCACTGAAGTGTCATGACCGGCGGGGTCGGGGGGAGGGAGAGGCCGGAGTCCCTGCTGAGGGTCGGGGGAGCAGAGGTTCCTTCACGAGGTCCGGGGCGGCCACAGCGTGCGCCATCTCCAGCAGGCACCAGAGCGGGGAGCAGCAGGCTCAGGCGGCTTGTCCTGGAGGGGCCGAGTTGGAAGCCAGCAGGCAGGAAAGTGGCGTTCGTGAAGGATGGAAATGTCGGGGTGTTCCTCATTGGGGTCGGTTATGTTTTCTACAAAGAGATGAGCAGAAAGGTTTGGGAAGGAGGTCACCAGGGGTGGAGTGGGAGGCTGGAGACATGTGGGGGCGTCAGTGGGAGGACCGTGGCCGGAGGGATGCATTTTGAGAGGTGGATGAAAATGGCAGGTGTGAGCACGAAGGTGGGACCCTCAGCCCTGAGTTTGCCACGAACCCCACGTAGGGCCCCTGGGTGTCAAGCAGATGCTAATAACATAAGATTGAGGGGCCCCTTGGAGGTGGGCAGGGCTCAGAGGAGACCCTCTTCCCTTTGAGAGAGACATCACCGTTCCGTCTCTATCCAGGGAGCACTCGGGATTAGAAACTGGATAAAGCAAATCCACAGATAAGACCGATGCTCCAGGGATGGGAGGCCTGGTCACTCTACACCTGAGCGTAAAAAAGGACAAATTACCTCATAGATCATGGACTAAAAACTCCAGGTGGCTTCTTTCTTGTTATCTGAGTGTGCTGCCTACTTACAGACAGCCCAGCTGCAGAATGTGTCTTTGAACATACCTGTACTGTTAGACTTAAGGGGTTTGTGTTTCACCATCTTTTCTGCTGCCTCTGTCATGCAGGTAGCTTTACTGAAGTTCTGTGCCAAATGATGAAGGTGTACTTGGCACAGTGCCCTAATCTGATTTGTCTGGATTGAGGTCACTAGCCCAGAGGGACTAGACCAGAGCTACTTGCAGGCCTGGCTGCGGTACCACTGAACAGAGCAGACACTGATTCAGTGGGAGGGAAATGAACAGAAATGTACCAGAGCTTCTCTCGGCAGCCCGGAACTGTACTCTAGTGGCGTGTCACATCGCTGAAGGAACCCTAGGTGCTTACCCAGTCAGCTTCAGAGAGAATTTATTTCCACATCCACGTGGAGGTGTGAAAGACATCCAGTATCTTACTGAAGCCTCCAAGTGCAAGTGCCATCTCAACGTGCAAAGTGGCTCTCTGAACTCATCTGAATGTTACAAAGTATCTACACGTTAAAAGTAAAGTAAGGGACTGGGGTAAATAGCCCCACAATATTCCATACAATAATTCTATCTTTTTGTACCGGTAAAAGTATTTTTTTCCAAGGTTAAAACAGCTGTCGGGGAAAACAGTTATGTATTTGAGAATTTCTTTTGGAGCCTACACTTTCGGTCGTCTCAGCGAGGAGTGACGTTTTAACGCTGCAGTCTGTGCAGGCTGGCTCCCCAGCTGTCCAACGGGCACCAGGCAGTACGGCACATCCCTAAGACCTCCATTCTCTATCTATCTATCTATCTATCTATCTATCTATCTATCTATCTATCTATCTATCTATCTATCTATATCTATCTATTTATTTATTTATTTATTTTTACTTTTATTGAATCATAATTGATTATACATACTTTTGGGGTTCAACGTTGACATATGTTGATCATATCAATATTACTAGCACGTATACTGTCACAAATTGTACTTGTTCTTTATGCCCTTCATCCAATCTCTCCCCCTTCCCCTCTCCCTCCTCCTCCGCCCTCTAGTTACCCTACATTTCTTCCCTCCTTCTGAAAGAGTCATGGTTACTCTGTTGATTTGTTGCCTACATGATCTGTCCAATGCTGAGAGGTGTGTTCAGGTCCCCCAGTTTTACCGTAGAGCAGATGCTTCTTCTGTCACTCTGGGGTGGGCTTCATGGAGAGAGACATCCTCTTCCTTTCTTTGGTCTCTGCTGGTGACTCTCCTTGTGTCAATGCACTCTGGAGGCTGGTGGACCATCTGCATGGCAGTTGTGGCATCTAGCTGCTTTTGTGGCAGCCAGCCGTGGTTATTGTGGTGACTGTGGTAGGCCACCTACACGGAGGTGATGTTTTTGGCATGCTCCTTGGCATTGGTGGTGTGCCTGGTTGTGACAGGGTTGTCTGCTCCCTGGCTCCATGCCTCATGTCCCTGGTGGGCCCTGAGGCGCCGGTGGTGTGCCTGGGCAAGAACTAATTTTTTGTCCTTTGCTTACTTCTAAAACGGGGGAACTTCCTGTGGGCTCCAGTACTTGAGCTGTGTGGTTGAGCTAAATTGCTTCTTTGTTGCTGTTTCCCTAAGGAAGACTTTTTGTGCAGCTCAGGTTTTAATGGTTGACCTTATAGGCACTTCCAGCTCTCCAGAGACCTGGTGGATCTGGGTTGTGTAGAATCTCTGATCTGGGTCTGAGTCTTTCCATCAAACTGCACCCCAAGCAATTCTATATTCCTGACCAGTCTCCTCTGAGTGGTCCTGCGCTGAT